GGCTTCGGGTCTGCCCGCACCTTGCTGGCGGCCCGTGCCTCGACTTCCCCACCGGGGAAGCAGCTCTTGGCTCCTGCTCCTGGGGTGCTGGGGGTGGGCCGCAGGAGCCGGCGGAGCTCGGGGCGGGGCGTGTGCGGGGCTGGCTCGGTAGAACCTACCGCGCCCTGGAGGGAGGGGCGGCCGGGGTGGCAGGAGGAAAGGGTGGGGTCGAGCGGGACGCCCGGGGCTCCGCGGAAGAGCACGGCGGCCCCGGCTGGAGCTGCTGATTCATCAGGTGTCCGTGTCATCGCCTCCAGGGCGAGGGGTCCTTGGCGGGCCGGGGGAGAGAGGTGGCACGTGGCAGGGCTGAGAAGACCCTGCTCCGTAGGCTTCGCCCCCTCACCCGCGTGCCAGAACCCAGAGGGAGACTTGCTGAGTCATCAGCATGAGGTCACTCGATTCTCATGTTGATGTCTGGGGGAATTTGAGCTAGGGGCTTCAGGGCCTGAAAGGTCGGGAAACGAGGGGTGGGAGGGAAACCGTGGGGACGTGGGGAATAAGCCCGGCCCAGGGGCTGGGGCGCCTGTTTAAGTTTGGGCTGATGAGCGAGTTGAGGGTAGGGCCGTGAGGAGGAAGTGGAGGGGCCACCTTGCAGCTTATCTCCTGGTCTGGAAGGTGAAGTGTCTGGCCTGTCTGGCCTCTCCCAGGCATGCCACTCTCTGGCAGCTGGTCCTGCACCCGCATCTGGGACAGTTCTCCAAACTGGGAAATAGTTCTCTGAGTTACAGGAGGGGAGGAGCTTAGGGGGGCCGTGCTTGCTGGGCTGGGAAGCAGGCTTTCCCTGTGACGAGTCTGGTTGGCCAAGCTGGGCAGCCCTTGGGCAGGGAGAATAGGGATACACCCTGGCCAGAGAGAGAGGCAGTGGGAGAAAGAGAAGTGCCTGTACTTGAGCCCTGAGTGACGGTGGACAGGGCAGGGGGCAAGCAGGCGCAGCTCCACCAGGAAATTGCAAATGAGAGGAAGCAGCAGGACTTAGACGCCTGGGGAGCAAAGTGGTGAGCAGTCCCGGCCTTCCTTCGCAGCCAGGCCTTAGGCTCTGGGTTGGGGCTGCAGGCAGTGGTAGCTTCAAGGGTGCCTAGCCTTCAGAGCACGGTAGGTGGGCTGGTGTGGATGGCATAGAGTGGAAGAATGCAGTTCTCAGTCACCCCAAAGTTGTCCCACCTGAAGTTGGGGCTCAGCGTTGAGGAGGTTAGTGAAAAACATGGCCCTGATGGTTGTTGAGGACTCTTGGGGAGTGACAACCCAAGGGTAATGTGGCCAGAGCCACCTTTCCTGGGTGTATGGGTGGTTCCTGGCCTCCAGGGATGAGAGTGTTTTGTCTAGACCAGAACTGACCTGTCTTGCCCAGGGGTCATGGTTAGCTTAGGTTGGCCTTGGGGTGTGTCCCCAGGGATGCCCCCCCATACACATTCACATTTAGCCCTAAATCTTCTTATTTACTTATGCTTTAGTGGAAATGAAGTTGTAGACTTTTTCAGAGTGGCTTTCAGTGGCTGAGGGCTTCTGGAGGAGGTGGGAGTGAGGCCGGGTTAGGTTGAGTACCAGAGTGCCCAAGGCCACACCTGCCTAGGAGGTTTGGCCACGGGGTTTGCAGGCCAGGAGAAGGAGCAGGGGTGGCTGGCTTGCCTCCTGCCTAGTGCCCATGCCCTGGAGTTGGGTCCAGGGGAAGGGGATGGAGCTGCCCAAACCTCTTTCCCCTTCCTGGCTGGCTCTGAGCCTGAGTGGGAGGCCCAGGGTACCTTGGTGGATTGGGGCCCTTGGGACCCTCCGTTCCTTCTCCATGAGGTGGGCTCAGCCTCTGGGGGAGCAGAGCAGGGAGGAGGGCTGGTGGGTGTGGGGGCAGTTTCTCCTTGATCCTGCCTCGGATCCCCTCCATCTGGCTTCTAAAGATGCCCTGAGCCATCACTCCCAGCCCATCCCCAGAGGCTATCTCTGTCCCATCAGTGTGTGTCCCCAGGTGGGCAGCAGAGGCCAGGCCAGGAAGCTGGCTTTGCTGAGACCTGCCCCTCCCCCACCACCCACCTTTGATTAGGAGGCGATTGGCTGTGCTTGTGCTGAGTTCAGGCCTTCTATGGAGGGTGAAATCTGTCGAGGAGGCACTTTTCCGCTCCCAGCCGCCACACTTGGCACTTTTCTTGTGATCTCTTCAGGAAGTCACCGTTGTGCTCAGCATTCAGGGGTGGAAGAAGGATGGCAGGTGGGAAAAGCTGGTGTCAGGGCTTTTCCTTTGGGCTTACAGTGGTAGGACACAGGGCAGTGTCCCTGCACCCCGACTTGGGGTCAAGGCTGGGGGAGCCCCTGCAGCTCCGCTGCGAGGGCCTGACTCCCAGGGTGGGTGTGGGTCCGTGAGGACCTTCTGATCTCCAGCTCTGGTCTGCCCCATCATCTGCTCTGGAAGAACCATGCAGCTGGAGCCTCAGGGCCTGCCTGAGAGCCCCGGGTGGCCTGTCTGTGGGGAGGTGCCTCTGGCCTCCTTCTTGCCTGCAGCCTCGCCTCCTGGTGCAAGGCTGGGTGAGGTGGGCTCTCTACCCTGGAGCAAACGGGACTGCAGTCTCTTAGCCCTCTAGCCATTTACCTCCCTGCCTCTAACGTGGAAGGTAGGGGGCGGGGTATGGGGAGGCTGTCTTTGCCTAAGGTTCTGGTGGAGGTTGACTGAGCCAGGTATGCCAGGACTAGGTGTGCAAAAATGTCCTTGGCAGGGCTTCAGGAAGCAGACTGTGAGGGCAGGTGCGGGAAGCGGGGCTCGGGGCAGGTCTTTGGTCTAGCCCCTAGCCCTTTTGTTTTTGTTCCCTCCTCTGTGGGCACTGACCCTGGGCAAGGGGCCTACTTGGTCCCCAGATGGCTAATTGTGGGCTCTCTTGTGAAATGCCCTGCATGGGGTGGGGCAGAGGCACTGCAACCCAAAGCCACAGGATGGTTCCTCCATCAGCAGCAGAGGTAGACAGAGAGGGCCAGAGGGGCCTTGGGCCAGGCTCCTCCTGGCTGGAGTGCCTGCCACTTGGAAGGTGGGGGAACTCCCGCCTGTGCTGAAAACAGAGTCTGAGCTAGCTGGATAACCCACTTGCCACTCTTCAAAGTGAGAAGTCTCTGGGAGAGTCAGGATTCTCCCACGTCCTCTCCTATGCCTGAGTCCCCAGTGGAGACGGCCCCCTTTGTCCCGGGCCAGGCCGGCTTAGGGGAGGTGGCTGTAGGAGGTAGGACCCTGGAGTGCACACGCGCAGGGTCGCTGGCCTGGCCCTCACCTGCTGTTGGCCAGGCTGGCTTTTCTGGCCCCAGCAGTTCCCTGCCTGGGCTGCTGGTCCCCTGGGGCTGTGTTGGCTGGCAGCCTTGGAGAGTGCCAGGCCGGTGAGGGAGCAGAGCAATCTGCTGAGTCAGCGTGACTCGCCAGGAACAGCCGCACTTTGGGGCGTGCACTGGGGTTATTTTTAAAGCTCCCAGCTTCCTTCCAGGCGGGCCCCTCCCGCATCCTCTGATCTCTCCGTGGCCCCTCTTGTCTCTGCCTACCTAACAGCACTTCAGTTCCCCTTCCCCATCAAACCCTACTGGCCTCCCACCTGGTTGTCTAGAAGCAGAGTGGACAGGGAGCAGGCCAGCTTGGGAGAGGCAAGGCCAAAGACTGGTCCTGGGGGACCAGGTATCAGGGGAATGGGCACCTACCCAGGCAGGCCAGTGGAGGGTGTGAGGGAGCTCACGGGCTCTGTGTGGACAGGAGGGAAAGGGGATGGTCTCCAGGATTCTGACCTTTGCTCTCTATCTTGCAGAGTGCCTGCTTGCTGTGCCCCCAGGTTATGACGACCCCCAGTAAAGGAAACAAGGCCTTGAAGGTGAGCAGACAGGGTGGGTGGTGTCTTGGGGCTGGCGTGGCAGCCCTGCTCAGCCCATGACTTCGTGCGCTGTGCTGTCCTCAGGTGAAGCGGGAGCCAGGTGAGAATGGCACCAGCCTGACTGATGAGGAGCTGGTGACCATGTCGGTGCGGGAGCTAAATCAGCACCTGCGGGGCCTGTCTAAGGAAGAGATAATCCAGCTGAAGCAGCGCCGACGCACACTCAAGAACCGTGGCTATGCCGCCAGCTGCCGCGTGAAGCGGGTGACCCAGAAGGAGGAGCTGGAGAAGCAGAAGGCGGAGCTGCAGCAGGAGGTGGAGAAGCTGGCCTCAGAGAACGCCAGCATGAAGCTGGAGCTTGACGCCCTGCGCTCCAAGTATGAGGCCCTGCAGAACTTCGCCAGGACCGTGGCCCGCAGCCCCGTGGCACCGGCTCGGGGCCCCCTTGCTGCCGGCTTGGGGCCCCTCGTCCCTGGCAAGGTGGCCGCCACCAGCGTCATCACAATAGTAAAGTCCAAGACGGACGCCCGGTCGTAGGGACGCGCACTTGCCTAGGCGGGTCTGTGGGGGGCCATTAGGCACATGGCGAATTTGGCAGCCCTATCCCCTCCTTCCTCCTCCCTTCTTCCTCCTTTCCTTTCGTCTTCCTCTCCTACCTCCTCCCTTCCCTGCAAAGCACAACCCGCACCCCAGGGGCGCCGGGCTGAGCCCCTTTGATCTCGTCGTTGTCATCGTGTGTTTTGTACATTGGGATTGGTCAGTTCGGCGGTGATGTGGGGTCGCCCCAGCCCCCTTTGTACCAAGGCCATGCAGGCTTGGAGTCCAGAGCTGGTCCTGTAGGAATGGACAGAGTGAGCGCTCTGGGGCTTGTGTGTCCCTGAGCAGGGAGGGCTCCACGGCCGGAGGGGCCGCTCTCCACTCCCGAGTGGCCCACAGACCCTGATGGCTGCCCGGCTGGCTGGGGGCTGTGTCGTTCACTCTCAGCTCAGCCAGCAGACATAGACGGGCGCTGCTCTGGAGAGTAGGTGTCCTTGAGGGCCCTGGATGGGCGGGCCACCAGCCTGGGTGCTGGGAAGTGGGGTAATGTATGCCTGTAGGCCAGGGGCCGTGGCGCTTGTGCCTGATGCATTGCACTGAACAAGACCAAATCACTGGTTGTGAGCGTGCGTGAGGGTGTGTCCAGTGTCCTGCAGTGGGTCCCGTGTCACTGTTTACATGACCTATTTGTGTGGTTACATAGCCTTTTATTTAAAAGAGAGAAGTTCCTTTTACAAAGTTATTAAATTATATGTTTAAAAGCTAAAGAAAAAAAAAGAGCTGCAGAGTATTTATAAAACTGTCTTTTTAAAAAAAACAAATAAGAACATTTGACCATATAAATGGGAAATGGAAGAAAGTATAATAGAAACTTTGCTAGTTTAAAAAAAGAGAAAAAAAGAAAAAAAATCCCTTTGTTGTAAACTTACGAACAAGTCTTTGTGGCTGTTGGAATTTAGTTTTTATATACACAGAGTTATCAGATGTTATTTATAAAACTTAGTTTGAAAAAAGACAAAAAAACAGCCAAGCCGCAAGCGACCAGAAGGCACGACCTGACGTCCTCTTTGCTATCTCTTTTGCAACTGTACCGAAAGTGACTTACTCCTTTGCCCTTCCTGCTTCCGTTGTCTCTTGCCGCTGGTGTCTCTGCCGTGGTGTGGTCCGTGCCTGGTGAGGTCTTGTGCAGCGTCACGTGCTGGTGCTCCTGGTGACCTTTGACCTGTGGGTGTCACTTCTTGTGTCTGCTTTCCCATGTTTGTTTTTTGGATTTGGTTGTGTTTTTGCTTCTTCTGGCTTGCTGGGCCTGGGCCAGAGTGTCAGGCGGTGCCTGCTCCAGTGCAGCTTGAGGGTCTGTGCCCGCCAGCCTGGCCCCTTCCGCCTGGGCCCCCAGGGGGTCAGATGTGGGGCTCTGCTGCTCCCACCCCTGCTAACCCTTGGCTTTGCACGTGTTTCTAGGGCTTGGGCTGATCCAGTGGCAGGGTAGGTGAAACTGTGGGCCATGCTGCAGCCCCGCCATGCTGCTTCCATACCAACTGCCTCTGACCCTGGATGGGGGCTTTGCAGGGACCAAGGAGTCACTGTGGGTGCCCACAGGGCCACAGCCAAGCTGTTCCTGGCCGTTTTCCTTCTGTCCTCCAATCAACATGCTTGGGCTCTGGCTGCAGACCGGGCTTTGTTCCTGGATGCTTCACGTGGGCCTCAGCAGGCGGACCCCAGGGGCCCACTTATCCCAGAACTGTTTCCGTGCCGCGGGGCAGTGCTTCGCAGGCAGAACCAGGTAGTTTCGGAGTCCACCTGGGGCAGCCCTTTCTCCCTGCCTGAGGGCTTGGGGGGATCTCCACTAGTGCCAGACAAGGCTGCAGTCTCCAGGGCCAGGTCCTGTTCCTCATCTGCTGAACATGGTAGCAGCTTGCAGCTTTGGACCCTCTTCTGCCTCCCTTTGGGGTCTGTGTCTTCCAGGGATCCACTGCTCGGCTGTGGAGGTGCTTTTCTGTGGGGCTGAGCCCGCCTTCCCATCCCAGCCTCTCAGTGGAGGCAGCCGGTCTTCCAGATTTGGCTTGGAAGGTCCTTGTAGGCTCGTGACAAGGGCTGCCTGCAATGCCCGCCCCCAAGAGACTACTACCCTGTCTCTGGCCACGTGGGCCTCAGCCTCTCCTTGGGGTCTCTCGTTGGCTTCTCTGGGGGCCCTGAACCCCTGAAAAGCACAGAAGTGTGGGCTGGTGAAAAGAAAAACAGTGTGGCCTGGCATGATTTAACCTAGTGTGCCTGTGGGATAGGAGTAGGTACGTGCTGTCAACTTCTGTCATCGCCCCTAGATGCTCAGAGGCATTCCCCGTTGTACCTGGGTCAGCCTGCAATGGAAATTTGACCGTTGACTCTGAACCGCTTGGTGGCTTCTTCCCCCTCCCTGCAGTCTGGCTTTTGTTTACCTAGGGTCCAGACGAGAGTCGTTGATGTTGGTTGTAGCAGCGACAAATTGAAATCGCGTCACAAGAATCCCTAAAGAGAGGTCCTGCCCTGCCTAACATGTCCATTTACGGTTCCCACTTTTGTCCTGGCTGGGAGGTGGTTGTCTGTCTCTGAATCCATGCCATACTGTAGACTTGGAGAGCGGAGGGAGGAGGTGGGCGAGGAAGGTGGGAGGAGGGTTTGAGGGTAGGCATATGCCGAACAGAAATTGCAGAAAAGGCTTTGGTTTACAGAAAAAGCTTCTGGAGTTAGTGAAGCCTTGCTTTCTTTCAAGATTTTTGGATTTCGAGCAAGTGTTCCTTGGTTCTGGGGGAGCATCATGTTCCAGTCAAGCCAGCCCTGTGGGGCCGCTCTGCCCCTTTTCTGCTTCACCTTGGTTTCTTGACAGTAGATCCTATGTCCACATGTGACTGGTTGGTGTCTTTCTGATTCTTGTTAATTCTGTTTTCCTACTGTGAGAGTGTTGTGTTCGCTCTTTCTTCAACTTTTCTGACACAGCGAATTGAGGACTTTGGCTGAGGCCAGGTCTCCCAAACTTGTCCGCTAAGTAAACCATAATGTGCACCTTCCTTCCCACCTTGCCCTTGCCCAACTCCTTCCTTTCCCGACCTGGACACTCAGATTTCAGAGGAGAACCCAGTGATAACAGGTCAGCTCCTGCCCAGTGTTGGCCCCAGGGAGACCTCCCCACGGCCCCTGACTGCTGCTCTGGGTGGCACTGCTGTTGTGCAGGTGAGAAAACACGGCTGCTCCGTGGCAGCTGTGTGGTGTCCTGGTTTCTGGTGGGTGCCAGGTCTCCCCTGGAGGCTTTTCTGCTCTTGGTCCACACTTGTGGTCTGTGTGCACAACCCTGACCGTCAGCAGCAGCCTCATTGGTCGGTGCCCCAGCCCACAGGACTGATCGGCCACAGCCTGCTTTGGGACAGGTGGTCAAGGCCTATCCTCTACCTGCTGCGTCCCACTCTCTGGGGTGGCTTATTGGCCAAAGCTCCCATCCCATAGCTGGGAAGCCCAAGCCACAGCCTGAAGCACTGTTTCCGCTCTGGGATCTTGTAAGTTACTATTTTAGGCTGTGGTTTGGTGAAAGGAACCAACACATTAACGATTTTTTTCCCCAGAAGCCACTAAATAATTCTTATGGGTGTTTTTTCACCTTCCACTTGGCTGTCTGGTTTTGGAGCAGGTGGGAAGAGCAGAGGACGCACAGAGGCAAGGGTGCCCTCGAGACCAGTGGCCTGTCCTCCTTCTGGCCTATGTGTCCTGGGCGTGTGCTGTACTTCTTAGGCCAGTCGCACACATTCCCCCCCCCACCCTGGAGCAGCAGCCTTGGTTCGTGGCTGTCCTGCCAGTTTGAGCTGGAGCGTAGGAGAGTGCATCCCTGATGAGCTGTGAAGGGTGACCCCTCCAGCAACCTCGTTTCCCAGCTGTGCCCTTCTCCCCATCCACTCAATCTGCTAGTCCTTGAAGCCTTTAACCAAACGGGAGTGGGTACAGAAAACCTTCTCCAGGTATCTTAGGGCAACAGGACAAGGGCTGCCCAGTGTGTCCAGCTCTGCTGCTCTCCTGGCGCAGAGAGGGTGGGGCTGAGCCGAGCCGAGTTGATCAGATCCTGCCTGCCCTGCCTAGGGCTGAAGCCAGGGGAGGTGGGGGTACGCTGGGATCTGCTGGGGCGGGGTTGTTGAGGATCCGGGTGGGGAGGGGCCTCGCTGGGCCGCCCGCGTCCACCCTGCCCTGTGCAGTATTTATTGCTAAATTATTGTCCAGGAGGGGCGGCACTGGGCCGGGCCCCGGGTATTTATTGCTGTACATAGTGTATGTTTGTGATATATAAGGTTTTCTTTATTTTGTATATGATTAATAAACACCTTTTAAAGAGACTGGCAGGTGCTTCCTTGACGCGACGCGCGGGCGGGGGTAGGCGGGGCCTCGCGCGCATGCGCATGCGCTGGCGCGTGGCCTGCCGGGAGGCGGAAGCGGAAGTGCGGGTCTCCCTAGAGCGATGGCAGCTGGGGGTCTGAGCCGCTCGGAGCGCAAGGCGGCGGAGCGGGTCCGGAGGCTGCGAGAGGAGCAGCAGCGGGAGCGCCTCCGCCAGGTAGGCCGCCGCCCGCCCGGCGCCCTCGCCCCGGCCCGCGCCGCCCTCACCGCCTGCCCCGCGCCCGCAGGTGTCGCGTATCCTGAGGAAGGCGGCGGCCGAGCGCAGCGCCGAGGAGGGTCGGCTCCTGGCTGAGAGCGAAGACTTGGTGACCGAGCTGCAGGGCCGGAGCAGGCGGCGCGAGGGCCTGAAGCGGCGGCAGGAGGAGGCGAGTTCCGCGGCGCGCCCCCTCCGCCCCGGGCCCCTCGCCTGGTGGGGCGGGCGGGGCGGGCTTACGACCGCAGCGTCTCGGCAGGTGTGCGACGACCCGGAGTTGCTGCAGAGGAAGGTCCGGGAGCTGGCCGGCGCCGTCCGCAACGCCAAGTACTTGGTCGTCTACACGGGCGCAGGGATCAGCACGGTAGGCAGGCGAGGCGTGGAAACCTGAACCCACCGCCGGGACGGGGGTCGGGCGTGGGGCGCCCCCTTCTGGGTAACTGACTCCAGGACCGAGCACAGTAGTGTAAGCGGAGGAAAAGCACTGATTCGCGAAGAGCTCAGCTTAAAAGTAGCTCTGAGGTTCTTTCCTTTCTTAGAGAAACTTGAAATGACTCAGTGAGAAACCTCACTAAGTAGATAAACATTTTTAAATTCTTGAATTCTGTTAGAGACAAGCTAGGAAGAGGGATGAAGACGGGACGTGACAGGTCAGTGCTGGCACACCTCCTCTTTTAAAGGGAAGGAGGTTGATTCATTGTCCCGAGGTGATGTGAGCAGAGCTAAGCCCAAAGCTGTCTCCTGATTCCCCAGAAAACGTTGTGTTTTCTGAATGTTGAAGGAAAGTGAGTAGAAAGTAAGGCAGTTAGAATTAGAGTACACCAGTGAAGAGGAGAAATGCATTGAGTTTTGAGAAGTTTCATTGAGAAGCTGTCATGGGCGGTGGAATGTGACTGGCTTTGAAAGTGTGGATGGCACGTTGTTTGTCTAATTGATGGGTGCGTGCTGAGTGTCACCCATGAGTAGGCCCAGTAGACGTGAACACCAAGGATTTCCTTTGTGTTCTTTCCTTGAGAAGCCCGTAGATGACAATAGTAAGGCATATAAGCAAATAACTGTAACCTGAAGCTGGCTGTGCTAGGTTGATAGACTAGAAATCTAGACACACCCTCTGGTCTTAGAGAGCTGGGAGAGAGACCCATCCTGTTGTTTTTTTGTGGGAGGTGGCGTTGAGTCCAGGCCTTGAAGGGAGGGTGAGATTTTACAGGCGAAGGTGAGAGTAAGACCCTCCACACGGGGATGAGCGCAGAGGCCCAGTAGCAAGTGTGTGTAAGATGCGTCGACTGCTCTAATTTATAAACACCTAGAAGCCCTGGCAATGGAGTCTCCTCCCTCAACAGTCACATGTGAACTCCTGTCATGCGATTATTCAAAAGCAGTAATAGCAACTCTTAAAGAGCTGTAAG